ATCAAACAACAGTCTGGGCTTTCTCCTGCGACAAAACCTCACACCCAGAATGATGATGATGAAGGTCAGAAAAAAGGTGGACACAGAAACCAGCGCGATGATCAGATAAGAGGTCAGTTTGGAATTCTTCTCATCATAAGAAATATCCTTCAGTTCTGGCACCTCAGCCAAGTTATCAGAAATAAGTAAATACATGGAACAGGTGGCAGAGAGAGGGCTGTCCGTTATCTTTCACTGACACAATAAGGTTCTGTTTCATGCTGTCTGATTCAGAAATGTCCCGCTGTGTCCTGATCTCTCCGCTGTGGAGACCAATAGTGAAAAGTCCCGGATCAGTGGATTTGACTATATGATAGGACAGCCAGGCGTTCTGTCCGGAGTCCGCGTCCACTGCTATCACTTTGGACACCAGAGAGCCTCCGTGTGCAGCTTTGGGGACCAGCTCGGTCATGAACGAGTTGCCCTCGGGGCGGGGTACAGTATCTGAGGAGAGTTGTCATTCACATCAGATATAAAGACACTGACGGTCACGTTGCTGCTGAGCGGGGAGAACCGTTGTCTCTGGCCATCACGTGGACTTTAAAACTCCTGAACTTTTCATAATCAAACGACCTCACAGCGTGGATCACCCCCGTGTCTCCGTTAACAGACAGATAGGAGGACACCGGGGCATCGTTCACCTCACCAGCTAACAGAGAATAAATCACTGTACCGTTTTGTCTCCAGTCGGGGGTCTCGAGCAGTAACGGAACATAAAGTGGAGCCAGGTTTGTTATTTTCAGTCACATATGCGCTGTAGGACTGTTCGTCAAACACAGGTGGGTTGTCGTTGATGTCTGCTACAGATAACTGAACAGTTTTAGAGGAGGACAGAGGTGGAGAGCCCTCGTCAGTGGCAGTGATTGTAATGTTGTAATCAGACACTAGTTCACGGTCCAGTTGTCCTGTGGTCACCAGAGAATAATAGTTTTTAATAGAAGGAACCAACTTAAAAGGGACGTTTTTGCTGAATGGAGCAGCGGACCTGTTTGTTAGTCTCAGAGTCTCTATCCTGTACATTAATGATGCCCACTTCTGTACCAGGTGATACATTCTCAGGTATGGGGTTAGACAGTGATTTCAGATATATAACTGGAGCATTGTCATTTTATATCGGTAATCTCAATTATTAAAGTTGCGTATGAAACTAATCCCAAACCATCTTTTGCACTTATTTGCATTTCATAGGATGAAACTTTCTCATAATCAATAGCTCCAGCTACTCGCACCTCTCCCGATTTAGAATCTAAGAAAAAAACGTTGCTATTTTCATCTGTAACATGATCAAATCCATAGGTAATTTCGCTATGTAATCCCTCGTCTGCATCAGTTGCACTCACTGAGATCACCAATGTTTCCAGAGGAGAGTTTTCAGGCAGACTTGCTTTATAGACAGACTCACTAAACACTGGTACATTATCATTAGCATCCAGTACAGTGACGTGTATGACTACAGTACCTGATCTCTGAGGAGAGCCACCATCAAATGCGGTAAGTAACAACATAATCTCTTGTTTGTCCTCTCTGTCTAATTCTTTGTCTAAAACTAATTCGCAATATTTTCGTCCACCTGCTTTTGTGTTTACGTTTAATTTGAAATTGTCATTCTGCTGAAGTGAGTAGCCCTGAACAGAATTTTCTCCGATGTCTCCGTCATGTGCCTCTCCAAGAAGGAAATGTGCACCCTTAGCAGCTGATTCCCGGATTTCAAAATTAAGTGAATCCTCTTTAAACTGCGGTGAATTATCATTAATATCTTGAACGCGGATACTAATACGGTGCAGTTCTAGTGGATTTTCCAGTACGAGTTCCTGTTTCAGAACACATGACGCCTTTTTCCCACAAAGCCCTTCTCTGTCGATCCTGTCTTGTATGATCAAGTCTCCGGTTTTGAGATTAACACCGCTGTAGTGAACATTGTTGTCCTCAGTGTCGATACGAGCTTTGCGAGCAGACAGTCTGCCCGAATCAAGTCCCAGATCCTTAGCGATATTTCCAATTACAGATCCACGTTTCATCTCCTCCGGGATAGAGTAGCTCACGTCTCCATTAACGGGGTGGAGGACACGAGAAATAAAAACAAGGCCGCATAGAAGCGAAAACCTACTGTATCCCATTATAATTCGAGAAAGACCACATCAACGTTACAAACTCTAAACTGGTCAAAATATATCAACGATGCTTTCGTGATTCCCTCCAATTAACAAATATGAACACGTTGCAGTCCTCCACGAAGCGGTTTATGTCAACAGCGATACAATGGCAGAGTGAGGCTTTTAAATTCATTGAGACAGAAGGGTGGAGAATGACCGTGCCTTCTCGTTAGCTGGTACACACTGACACCATGAGTATTTTTTAAGTTATGACAAGGTGATGTAGGATTTTGTTTTTATTTATTTTACATCATTTAAAAGGCAGATCGATAGTGACCAACAGTTGTTGCAAAGTTCAAGGAAAATCGGCTGGTATTTAATTTCTTAACCCTTGTGTGGTGTTCGGGTCTGTGGGACCCGTTTTCATTTTTTATTAAAAGAAAAATGATACAATTAATTAATTTTTTCAAACTGAGACTCACTGACTTTGGCTCATTTTCTGTGAAGAACATATATCAGAATACATATTTAATGACCACACACCATACACCCCCTACACATTTCTATTACATATAAGATGTCCGGGTCCACTGGACCCGGGGGCTAATAGAAGTGTGGAAATTGATGTTCTGTGTACCACACGCACCCACCCACACACCCACACACCCACCCACACACCCACACACACCCACACACACCCCACACACACACACACACACACACACACACACACACACACACACACAGCAGGCCTAGACAGGAGGAGGACAGAGTGTAGGTACACAGAACATCAGAGGGTCAAATGTGCGAGAAAATGAGAGCAGACAGTGTTGACAAACAATGTTGCAATGTGACCTAACAAAGGTAAAGGGCAAATATTAACCATATATATTGTTTATACTGCTTGTAATTGGGATAAGGTAAACATCTGTTCAGTATTTTAACATAAAAGTGTTTGATTGTGAGGCATTAAAAGCCACAAAATGCAACGGGTCCATCAGACCCACAAACACTGGCTGAGTAACAACAATATGAACATTACACAAGGGTTAAATAACAGAATAAGAGTATCAAATACAACAGAAACTTGAAGGGTAAAACTACTATTTGTGGTATTTCTGCTACCTGCTCTGTCAAAGCTAGACTGCGAGTAGTTGATATATATTCTTTTTTTTTTAACAGTGTTGGTTATGGAAGTTTTGTACTAATTGACAACAACATGTGGTCTTTAAAGACATACATTAAAGTTAAAAAACACTTGAGTAGAATGTTTCATTTTGTCAAAAGCATGAGGTGTACGAATGTGTCACTGACGCACATATAGATAATTTAACATATAAAGGACCAACCTAGGAACGCAAAAACTCCATTAGCTACACAGAATAAACACAGGGGGTCAAAATCTTCCTGCTGCTCTCATACCGAGTTCAATTATAGCCTATGTAAATAGTTACACACTTCTGATGAGTATCATCGAGAAGACGCAGTCACAATGACACCAGATAATAAAGACGACATATTCACATACAAACAATAAGCAGGAAATACCTGAATATATAAACAAAATCTAATTAAAAGTACAATTACTGAAACAAACCAGCAAACCGGTAAAAACTGACAACATCAGAAAACAAAGAAGTAAACTATCTCCAACAATGCATCAATACGTCAAACTGAGTTCAGCACCAAGGACAGAGAAACAAGCAGTTTTCCCTGAGTGGAAGATAAAAAAGCAAGAAGCGTTAACGACCAGATGGATTCAAATAGACAAGTTGTCTCTACAATTTAAAATCAACCAAAGCCTTAACAGTACACATATCAAACACAAACACATAATCGATAGTGTGTGGGCAAAAGGCAGGTTAAAACGACCAATAATTGATTAAATGAAAACTCTTCGACTTACACAACAAATTGGTTAGAAAAAAAAGAACAAATGTAAAAGTTGGGATATTTAAACGGTAAATTCTAACGTGAGATTAAACCACCAACAGCTGTATCGATAATAGCTTAAATCTGAATTATTTAGCCAAAATCAGGATTTCTTAACAACTTTTGGAACTATTAAAAGAGTATTTAACCACCACTGAAAAGAATAATGAAATTAAAAAGAGTCCAAAGCAAAAGAAAATAATGGATTCTTCAGGATGATGAACACAAGTTCAGTGACATGAAATGTGTTCCTACCTCAGGAGAACCATCACTGTCTCCAAATACATCAGCAAAGTCACTTGGACTTTCCTCAGAGTCTGCTCAGCAGGCAGTGTGTTGTCATTGTAAGATGTCACGAACTTAAAGTCACTGGTTCTAGATCCTGTTGTCAGGTATGCGTCATAATTGTAAGCGCTGCGTAAAGTTCCTGTGCCGTCAACATCTGCGTAATTAGGAGGAAGATAAGCGCTGGGGATGGCAACTGCTCCATCAAACAACAGCCTGGGCTTTCTCCTGCGACAAAACCTCACACCCAGAATGATGATGATGAAGGTCAGAAAAAGGTGGACACAGAAACCAGCGCGATGATCAGATAAGAGGTCAGTTTGGAATTCTTCTCATCATAAGAAATATCCTTCAGTTCTGGCACCTCAGCCAAGTTATCAGAAATAAGTAAATACATGGAGCAAGTGGCAGAGAGAGAGGGCTGTCCGTTATCTTTCACTGACACAATAAGGTTCTGTTTCATGCTGTCTGATTCAGAAATGTCCCGCTGTGTCCTGATCTCTCCGCTGTGGAGACCAATAGTGAAAAGTCCCGGATCAGTGGATTTGACTATATGATAGGACAGCCAGGCGTTCTGTCCGGAGTCCGCGTCCACTGCTATCACTTTGGACACCAGAGAGCCTCCGTGTGCAGCTTTGGGGACCAGCTCGGTCATGAACGAGTTGCCCTCGGGGCGGGGTACAGTATCTGAGGAGAGTTGTCATTCACATCAGATATAAAGACACTGACGGTCACGTTGCTGCTGAGTGGAGGAGAACCGTTGTCTCTGGCCATCACGTGGACTTTAAAACTCCTGAACTGTTCATAATCAAACGACCTCACAGCGTGGATCACCCCCGTGTCTCCGTTAACAGACAGATAGGAGGACACAGGGGCACCGTTCACCTCACCAGCTAACAGAGAATAAATCACTGTACCGTTTTGTCTCCAGTCGGGGTCTCGAGCAGTAACGGAACATAAAGTGGAGCCAGGTTTGTTATTTTCAGTCACATATGCGCTGTAGGTCTGTTCCTCAAACACAGGTGGGTTGTCGTTGATGTCTGCTAAAGATAACTGAACAGTTTTAGAGGAGGACAGAGGTGGAGAGCCCTCGTCAGTGGCAGTGATTGTAATGTTGTAATCAGACACTAGTTCACGGTCCAGTTGTCCTGTGGTCACCAGAGAATAATAGTTTTTAATAGAAGGAACCAACTTAAAAGGGGCGTTTTGCTGAATGGAGCAGCGGACCTGTTGGTTATTCTCAGAATCTGCATCTTGCACATTAATGATGCCCACCTCTGTACCAGGTGACACATTCTCCGGTACTGGATTTGCCAGAGATTTCACATAGATTACAGGTATGTTGTCATTGACATCTGTGACATCAAGTGTTACCTTTGTGTATGACGATAATCCTAAACCATCTTTAGCTTTAATGCGCAAATCATAGGTTGTAACACTTTCAAAGTCAATCTCACCATTTACTTTTATTTTTCCATTTTTACGGTCAATACTAAAAACTTTCTTCACATCTTCTGAAACATGTCCAAATTCATAGGTTACATCTCCATTGACTCCCTCATCTGCATCAGTTGCACTCACTGTGACTACCACAGTGTCTAAAGGAGAGTTTTCAGGCAGACGGGCTTTATAAACGGCCTGACTAAACACTGGGGCGTTATCATTAGCATCCAGCACAGTGACGTGTATGACTACAGTACCTGATCTCTGAGGAGAGCCACCATCTAAAGCTGTAAGGAGCAGATTGATCTCTTGCTGTTTTTCACGATCAAGCTCTTTATCAAGAACAAGCTCTATTGTGTTTCCATTAGAAGCCAAAATGAAATGTTCATTCTTCTTCAGGCTGTATTGTTGAACTGAATTTTGTCCTACATCCGCATCGTGGGCCTCCTCTATCACAAAACGAGCTCCCCTGACTGCAGACTCTTGAATTTCTATATTAATCGATTCTTCCTTAAATTGTGGGGAATTATCATTAATATCTTGAATGTGAAGACTGAACGGATGCAGCTCCAGAGGATTTTCCAGTACAAGATCGCGTTTTATGACACAGGACAGCTTTTTCGCCACAAAGCCCCTCTCGGTCGATCCTGTCTGCAACAATTAAATCTCCGGTACTGAGACTGATATCACAGTAACGCTTGCGATTCCCTGTGGCATCAACACGGGCATTTCTAGCAGACAGTTTACTCGAGTCCAGGTTAAGATCCTTCGCTATATTCCCAATAACAGATCCGCGCTTCATTTCCTCCTGAAAGGAATAGCTCACGTCCCCATTCACGGTTTGCCACATCAGAAAGAAAACGAAGCAGTTCCGTTTGAGCGCCATCACGGCAACGCGTGTGTTACAGAAAAAGGGTTCTCTTGTAGTTTACAAATTCAATAAGTATTCTACAGTTCAGTCAAAAGAAAATCGACCGCACTCCTCAGCTATTCCTGCTGCACCAAACTACCAACAGCAACTGAAACATTAGCATTTTATTGATCTATATCGAGAGGGTGGAGTAGAAATGTTTCACATAGACAGGCGAATAGCGACACCGTGAGTGGAAAGATGAAATGACAAACTGTACATATACTGTTATTATTACTTTTACTATTACTACTATTATTATTATTATTATTATTATTATTATTATTATTATCATCACTATTATTATTATTATTATTATTAGCAGTAGTAGTAGAAGAAATGTAATAACAATTACACTACTACTGCAAGAAGAATCCTACATTTATAGAGGAAGTATATTAATCAGTTTAAAATTGTATGCACCATCATAACCTAATACAGGCTATGGGTCAAGGGAAAAGTTTGTATTATACTTATTTATACTCATAGATGAGTTGCAGTCATTAATTTGAAACAACGAAGTTGGTTTCCAATACAATGTTATATGCCACGTCTGCCCCTGAAATATTATCATTCAGCCATTGTAAAGTAAGTCTCTAACAAATAAAACCTATGATATAATCATGCACAGGATAAATATTTGAATAAAATTCATTCTTACACTTTATTGAGATGCAAAGACAGCGACTGTTGAATCCAAACAAAATATATCTACTGAAAAGTGCAAAGGCATGATCAAACCCAAACAAAGTGAATGTCCTGTAAAGAACCATTCCATGCAACCATAGATAGATAGATATGAATAGGTGAGACAATATATTTATGTTTGAGAAGGCAAAATCTCTCTCAATCCTATTAGAAGTAACATAAACCACAATAGAACCATTATTTCTTAAGACTCAAAAGGTCCAATTTAGAAACCCCCCACAACCACTCAAAAGCGTTCTGAACGCTGTATTTGACGTTTTTGATTCAACATAAATCTATGTCTTCTGCTTAGATTTTGCCATGATTGTGAAAAAATATCTTTTTCCACAATGAAAAACATATATGTCTTGTAGGAAGCAGTTTCCATACCGTGATCATCTTATATGGCTTCCTCATGAGTAAACTGCTAGATCATCATAAACCCCTGTACAAGATTTATTAAACACATATTGAGGAGGCTAGATCCATGCATGGGCAATGAAGAAATATGTTTACGCAACCACTTCTTCAATTGCATCTCATTATTACGAAAAAAGAAAGAAAAAAAAAGAAAGAGAAGGTGAAGTCTTCTTGTACTGCAATTAAACGTATTAGGAAACATTCACACTGTGACTTTAGTAGAAAACATAACACTATTTTCCAGTTTTTCATACATCTGGAGAGACTTCAGAATCTCCAAATGCATCAACAAAGCATGTTAGACTTCTCCTCAGAGTCTGCTCAGCAGGAAGTGTGTTGTCTTTTAAGAAGTCACAAACTTAAAGTCACTGGTTCTAGATCCTGTTGTCAGGTACAGGTACAGTATCATTGAGAATACACAGTCACAAATACACCAGATAACAGAGACGATATATTCACATGCAAACATTAAGCAAGAAATACCTAAATATATCAACTCAATCAACATAATAGTACAATCGCTAAAATAAATCGGCAAACTGGTAAAAAGTGACAACATCATAAAACAAAGAAGTAAACTATCTCTAACAATGCAACAATACGTCAAACTGCGTTCGAGGCACCAAGGACAGAGAAACAAGCAGTTATCCCTTACTGGAAAATAAAAAAGCAACAAGCAACCAGATGGATTCAAAGGACTCTAAATAGACAAGTTCTCTCAAACACAATGTAAAATCAACCAAAGCCTTAACTGTAGACATATAAACACACGCGTATAATCAAATATTATGGGTGGGCAAAAGGAAGGTTAAACGACCAATGAAAGATGCATTGAAAATTGTTCGACTTATACGGACATATTGGTAAGAGAAAGAGGGCAAATGTAAAGGTTGTGATATCTAAACGGTAAATTCTAATTTGAGGATTGAATCACCAACAACTGTATCGAGAATATTTTTAAATCTCAACACTTAAGCCGACATCAGGACTTCTTAACAACCGTTGGACCTATTAAAGAGTATATAACCACCATCAAAAAGAACATCACACTGAAAAGGGTCAAATGGGAAAAAAAATGGCTTCTTCAGGATGATGAACACAAGTTCAGTGATATGAAATGTGTTCCTACCTGAGAGAACCATCACTGTCTCCAAAGTCAGCAAAGTCACTTGGACTTTTCCTCAGAGTCTGGTCAGCAGGCAGTGTGTTGTCATTGTAAGATGTCACGAACTTAAAGTCACTGGTTCTAGATCCTGTTGTCAGGTATGCGTCATAATTGTAAGCGCTGCGTAAAGTTCCTGTGCCGTCAACATCTGCGTAATTAGGAGGGAGATAAGCGCTGGGGATGGCAACTGCTCCATCAAACAACAGTCTGGGCTTTCTCCTGCGACAAAACCTCACACCCAGGATGATGATGATGATGAAGGTCAGAAAAAAGGTGGACACAGACACCAGCGCGATGATCAGATAAGAGGTCAATTTGGAATTCTTCTCATCATAAGAAATATCCTTCAGTTCTGGCACCTCAGCCAAGTTATCAGAAATAAGTAAATACATGGAACAAGTGGCAGAGAGAGGGCTGTCCGTTATCTTTCACTGACACAATAAGGTTCTGTTTCATGCTGTCTGATTCGGAAATGTCCTTTTGTGTCCTGATCTCTCCACTGTGGAGACCAATAGTTAAAAGTCCCTGATCAGTGGATTTGACTATATGATAAGACAGCCAGGCGTTCTGTCCGGAGTCCGCGTCCACCGCTATCACTTTGGACACCAGAGAGCCTCCGTGTGCAGCTTTGGGGACCAGCTCGGTCATGAACGAGGTTGCCCTCGGGGGCGGGGTACAGTATCTGAGGAGAGTTGTCATTCACATCAGATATGAAGACACTGACGGTCACGTTGCTGCTGAGCGGAGGGAGAACCGTTGTCTCTGGCCATCAGGTGGACTTTAAAACTCCTGAACTGTTCATAATCAAACGACCTCACAGCGTGGATCACCCCCGTATCTCCGTTAACAGACAGATAGGAGGACACCGGGGCACCGTTCACCTCCCGGCTAACAGAGAATAAATCACTGTACCGTTTTGTCTCCAGTCGGGGTCTCGAGCAGTAACGGAACATAAAGTGGAGCCAGGTTTGTTGTTTTCAGTCACATATGCGCTGTAGGACTGTTCCTCAAACACAGGTGGGTTGTCGTTGATGTCTGCTACAGATAACTGAACAGTTTTAGAGGAGGACAGAGGTGGAGAGCCCTCGTCAGTGGCAGTGATTGTAATGTTGTAATCAGACACTAGTTCACGGTCCAGTTGTCCTGTGGTCACCAGAGAATAATAGTTTTTAATAGAAGGAACCAACTTAAAAGGGACGTTTTGCTGAATGGAGCAGCGGACCTGTCTGTTAGTCTCAGAGTCTCTATCCTGTACATTAATGATGCCCACCTCTGTACCAGGTGATACATTCTCAGGTATAAGGTTAGACAGTGATTTCAGATATATAACTGGAGCATTATCATTTATGTCTGTAATTTCAATTATTAAAGTTGCATATGACACCAATCCAAGACCATCTTTAGCACTGATCTGAATTTCATGGACGATTCTTTTTCATAATCAATAGACCCGGCCACTTTACCTCTCTCCTGTTTTAGGGTTCAGGAGAACATTTGATTTTCATCTGAAACATGGTCAAATCCATAGGTAATTTCACCATTCACTCCCTCGTCTGCATCAGTTGCACTCACTGTGATCACCAATGTATCCAGAGGAGAGTTTTCAGGCAGACTTGCTTTATAGATAGACTGACTAAACCCTGGTACATTATCATTAGCATCCAAGTACAGTGACGTGTATGACTACAGTACCTGATCTCTGAGGAGAGCCACCATCAAATGCGTTAAGCAATAACATAATCTCTTGTTTGTCCTCTCTGTCTAATTCTTTGTCTAAAACTAATTCGCCGTATTTTCGTCCACCTGCTTTTGTGTTTACGTTTAATTTGAAATTATCATTCTGCTGAAGCGAGTAGCCCTGAACAGCATTTTCTCCTATATCTGCGTCATGCGCTTCATCCAAGGAGAAAACGTGCACCCTTAACAGCCGATTCCCGAATTTCAAATTTAAGTGAATCCTCTTTAAACTGCGGTGATTATCATTCATATCTTGAACGCGGATACTAATACGGTGCAATTCTAGTGGATTTTCCAGTACGAGTTCCTGTTTCAGAACACATGACGCCTTTTTCCCACAAAGCCCTTCTCTGTCGATCCTCTCTTGCACGATCAAGTCTCCGGTGTTGATATTTACGCCGCAGTACTTAACGCTGTTGTCCTCAGTGTCGATACGAGCCTTGCGAGCAGACAGTCTGCCCGAGTCAAGTCCCACATCCTTAGCGATATTTCCAATTACAGATCCACGTTTCATCTCCTCCGGGATAGAGTAGGTCACGTCTCCATAGACGGGCTGGAGGACAAGGAAATAAAAGCAAGGCCGCAGTGAAGCGCAAACCCTACTGTATCCCATTATAATGCGGGAAAGACCACATCCACGTTACAAACTCTAAGCTGGTCAAAATATATCAACGATGCTTTCGCTGATTCCCTCAATTAACAAATATGAACACGTTGCTGTCCTCCACGAAGCGGTTTATGTCAACAGCGATACAATGGCAGAGTGAGGCTTTAAATTCATTGTGAAAGAAGGGTGGAGAATGACCGTGCCTTCTCGTTGGCTGGTCACTCACTGACACCATGAGTATTTCTTAAGTTATGACAAGGTGATGTAGGATTTTGTTTTTATTTATTTTACATAATTTAAAGGCAGATCGATAGTGACCAACAGTTGTGGCAAAGTTCAAGGACATTGGGCTGGTCTTTAGTATTTCCTAAATAACAGAATAAGAGTATCAAATACAAGAGAAACTGTAAGGATAAAAGTACTATGTCTGGTATTTCTGCTACCTGCTCTGTCAAAACTAGACTGCGAGTAGTTGATATATTCCTTTTCTTGTACAGTGTTGGTTATGGAAGTTTGTACTAATGGGCAACATCATGTGGTCTTTAAAGACATACATTAAAGTTAAAGAAACACTTGAATTACATGTGTCATTTTTAAAAGTGTGAAGGTTTTATAAAAGCCTTCGTGTCATATTAATTTAAACGTCTTACAGATTTTTCACTGACGCACAAATACAGTATATGATTTTTTCATCTAGAGGATTAAAACTATGAATCGCGAAACTCCACTAGCTACATAGAATAAACACAGAGGGTCAAATTCGTCTCTGTGCTCGTCACCGAGTTTATTTATAGGCTATGTTAATGGTGAACACTTCTGGACAGTATTATCGAGAAGACGCAGTCAGAATGACACCAGATAATAGAGACGACATATTCAAATGCAAACAATGAGCAGGGAAATACCTAAGCTTTCCACAAAATCTAAGTAATACTTAAATTATTGAAACAAATCCGCAAACTGCAACATCATAAAACAAAAGAAGTAAACTATCTCCTAACAATGCATCAATAAGTCAAACTGAGTTCAGCACCAAGGACAGAGAAACAAGCAGTTTTTCCGTCACTGGAACATAAAAAGAGAACAAGCAAACGACGAGATGGATTCAAATAGACAAATTGTCTATTTGTCTACACTTTAAAATCAACCAAAGCCTTAACAGTAGACATATCAAACACAGCGCATAATCGATTGGTGTGTGTGGGTGGGAGCAAAGGAAGGTTAAAATGACCAATGAAAGTTGCTCTAAAAATTGTTCTACTTATACTAACATATTGGTGAGAACAATGAGAACAAATGTGAAGTTGTGATATTTAAACGGTAAATTCTAATTATTTTATTAGATTGAAACACCAACAACCCATATCGATGATAGCTTAAATCTAAAATTACTTAGTCAAAATCAGGACTTTTTAACAACTTTTGAAACTATTAAAAGATTATTGAACCACCACAGAAAGAACATCAAACTGAAAAGGGTCAAAGAAAAGAACAAAATGGCTTCTTCAGGATGATGAACACAAGTTCAGTGACATGAAATGTGTTCCTACCTCAGGAGAACCATCACTGTCTCCAAATACGTCAGCCGGGAAGTCCTTGGACTTTTCATAGGTCTGGTCAGCTGGCTTGTTGTGGTGCCATAAGTGTAAGGATATCACGAACTTAAAGTCACTGGTTCTAGATCCTGTTGTCAGGTATGCGTCATAATTATTAGCGCTGCGTAAAGTTCCTGTGCCGTCAACATCTGCGTAATTAGGAGGAGATAAGCGCTGGGGATGGCGGCAACTGCTCCATCAAACAACAGTCTGGGCTTTCTCTTTGCGACAAAACCTCA